GGTCTGAGGAGTCTTGAGGAGACAGAGAAGCAAATAAACTTGCCATGTTGAAAAAGGGTACCACCACATGACAGAGCACAGATAAGAAATGGGCTAATTAAAGTTATAGGAGCTAGTTAAAAACAAGTCTAAGCTATCAGTGAAACATAATTTTGTCTCTGTGTGGTTATTTGGGAGTGACTGCTGGGACAAAACCCCAGCTACACTTCCACCTTTACATGGGTTCCAGGGATTGAACTCGGGTTAAGATTTCTTTTCTTTTTCTGAGACAGGGTTTCTCTGCATTGCTTTGGAGCTTGTCCTGGAACTCGCTTTGTAGACCAGGCTGGTCTCAAACTCACAGAGATCCGCCTGCCTCTGCATCCTGAGTGCTGGGAAAGCTATACGCCACCAACGCCCAGCTCAGGTTAAGATTTCATAACTGTTTTGTCAGCTGAGCTATCTCAACCAGCTAGGATTATTTAGCTTTTTAACCCTGAGTTTTAATAGATCCTTACATTCTAGATGCAAGTCTTGAATTAGATAATTTATAAATGCATGCTCTCCTGTTCTTCACTTTGTCTTATTCTTTTCTTAACGGTGTCTTTGAAGAGCAAACCTCTCTAACTCTGATAAAGCCAATGTGTATGTATATGTATTTTGAGGTAATCTATGAAGGCAGGCACACAAATGAAGACTTCTTATTTTCTTCTAATTGTGTTTTACTCCATTAAATTTTTACATAGTTACAAGTATGGACCCAAGTTAATATTTTGCATAAGAATATACAAGTCCAGAGGCTGGACTGATGGCACAGCAATTTAGAACACTTGTTGCCCTTGCAGAAGACACAGGTTCAACTCCTAGCACCCACATGGTGGTTCTTTACCAAACTTAACTCCAGTTCCACAGGGTCTGATGCATCTTCTGGCCTTCTTAGGCAACAGCACACACATGGCTGGCATGCATGCATACATACATACATACATACATACATACATACATACATACATGCATGCATAGGAAACCTTTATAAAAGAAAATACAAACTCTAGTATCATTTGCTGAAAAAAAATGCCTTTTTGCCCCGATGTGCGTTAGCATCTTTATTTTTAAAAAAAATCACTTGAGGGAGGGCACGGGAGGAGGAAAGGGAAACGTAGAGGGACCTGGAACTGACTTGCGAAGCAACCTTGTTTCTAATCTAAATTTAATTTAAAAATAAATAATAAAAAATTACTTGAGTAATTTGCTACAGATGGTGGCATACACATGCCTATAGCTTCAGCTACTCAGGAGGCTGAAGTTGGAACTTCAAGGAGTTCAAGATCAGCTTGTACAACATGGTGAGACCACATCTCAAAACAAAATAACAAAACCATCACTTGATTATAATGTAGCAGAGTTTTATTTCTGGACTTTCAGTCTGTTCCATTGATAGGAATGCCTACCTGTGCACAATATAATGTTGCCTTCATCACTGTAACTTATTAAAATGATTATAGTTTTAGAATCAGGCAGTTTTACTCTTCTTTGATCTTTTATAAAGAGAACTAGTTTTTTTTTCTGTTGCAGGCCCTTTGCATTTTCATATAAAGTTTAGATTGCTTGTAAATGTCTTTTTTTTTTCAGACAAGCTCTCACCACTATGTAGCTTTGGCTTCAGTTTGCACGTTGTAAATTTTTGTAAAAAAAAATCAAAAATTTTATTAAACTTTTTCATTACATTTATCAATTCTCTCCTTTATTCACTATTATTGTGTTGGGGTTACATCTGTGACTTTACATCTAGTAATATGTTTCATACAATTGGATGCACCCATGCTTGATGTATATAATTTTACATTGTTATGCCCTCTTGTCAGATTGTTCTAATAATCAGTATGAAGTTATCTTCTTTAATTTCTCTGACTAGTTTTAAAGTAAAATCTCTTCTGTCAGACTTTAGGACAATGATACCTGCTTGTTTTCTAGTGCCATAGCGTCTTTTCTCTTGATTTGGGAAATTATCTGCTATGATTTTATTGAAATGTCTTGTATTGTTTTAACACAACATTCTTCTTTCATGCCCATAATTCATAGATTTGGTCTTTTCAAAGTGTCCCATAGATCTGAAGTGCTCTGTTCATACTTTGTGAGGGTGGACTATTCCAATTCTTTGTCTTCAAGCCCTGATATTGTCCTTCCCATCACCCATTCTACTGTTGACACTTTCTGCAGATTTTTTACTTATTTTTTGTTCCCAGTATTTCAGATTGTTCTTCATTATTTCCATCTCTTTGTTAGACTCGATTTTTATATCACATATTGACTTCCTCATTTCATGCAGATATCTGCATTCTCTTGGAATCCACTTCATGAATGAGTGTCCTCTTTAATTTCTGTGATATTTAGAACCATTCTTTTGTATTCTTCCCAATTGGAAGACATTACTCAAGGGCTAGTAGTCTGTGAAGCAGTTATGTTGCCTTGGATCTTCATGTTTCTTGTGTTTTTGTCATGCAAGTTGCATATCTGGGGTTAATTTTTTATTTTACATTTCCTTATTCAGTGTATGTGTCTGTGTGTACATGTATGCACCTATGCCACAGCATGTATGTGGAGGTCAGAACAACCTTTAGGAGCTGGTTTGCTCCTTCAACCAAAAGCATCCCAGGTGTCCAACCCAGATCTTCAGTCATGGAAACAGGTACATTGGCCTAAAGCCATCTTGCTAAACTTTTTTTTTTTATTACAATCCTTATTCTTTAACTGGAAATATCTGCAATATCCAAGAATGACTGGTTCAGGTAGAGTTGAGGTGTCATTATCCTCTGTTACACTCTTTGTGGTATCTGGCTTAGCACCAGTATTTCTTAGAGAGCAATGCCTGCAAAATAATCGCTCTCAAAGAATAGGATCATTATGCAAATAGTGATAGCAAAAAAAGTCATCCCTTTATTGTCAATCATTTTAAGAAGGAACACTGATATGGCTGTGTGCAGTAATATGTTAGTATGGGTATTAAATGCTTGAAGAGAATTACGGAAGTACAAAAAGAACAGACAAGGGAAGTAAGGCAGGACATTTTTGGCTAAAGGTAGAATAAAAAAAATGGTGTCCTCCATCCCCTCTGGCTCTTACACTCTTTCCAACTCCTCTTCTACAGGGTTCCCTGAGCCCTGAGAGGAGGGATTTGATGGAGATTGTCCCATTTAAGGCTGAGTGTTCCAAGGTGTGTCATTCTCTGTGTAATGTCTGGCTGTATACATGGAATGTACATGGAATGCTGTATACATAATAAATAAATCTTTAAAAAAAAGAAACAGATATTGGGGTTCAAACTGAAGATCAGAAAAGCAAAGCAGCCAAGCCACTAGAGAGTTCTTACCTCTGCCAACGCTTGGACTAAAGGGGAGGGGGTGTCCTGTCCTCTGTGTATCTGCAGACTGCAACGACATTCACCAAACCTCAGACTGCACTGAGCTCCTGCCTTACATTCCTCTCTAGTGCTGGGGTCAAAGTCATGCCATCCCAAGTGCTGGGATCAAAGGTGTGAGCTCTGTTTCTTTCAGACTGATTCATTCTCATGTAGCCCTGAGGTGACCTTGAACTCACAGAGATCCATCTGCCTCTGTCTCCCAAGCACTGGGGTTAAGGTGTGGTGACCACTGCCTGTCCTCTACGGCTAGCTAACTAATGGCTTAGGTGTGTGGCTAATGAGTGGCTTAGCTCTGTACTCTGGTCTTCAGGCAAGCTTTGTTAGATTACAAATAAAATATCATTACATAAAGTGTTACAAATATTTTAACAGCACAAAACCTAAAAGAAACAAGTTAGTCAGCATGATAGTATACATTTGTAATGCCAGCATTGAGGAAACTGAAGTAGAAAGTTGTGAGTTCAAGGCTAGCTTGGGCTACATAGAAAACTTCTATCTCCTACCTCAAAAAAAAATGAAAGAAAGAAAGGGAAGGGGGCTAGGAAGGAAAGAAAAATATAGGTAAGTTGGCCCTTTTAAATTTTATAGAATGACAAATGGAAATCGTTTTAATGCGATGCCCCACCCCTTTCTCAGTACAGGCGATTGAGAGCCTTGCCAATTTAGGCACTCTATCTCAGCCTGACTTTTGAGTTACATTGGCAAATAACCCAAATGCATTCAATTCTGAGTATCATTTGGCCATCAGTATAGATAGTAATATAAGCAATCTATGTGTTTAACTGCCAATATCATCTATCAGAAGAAAAGTAACTAGTTGTCGGGAGGTGGTGGCACGTGCCTTTGATCCCAGCACTCGGGAGACAAGAGGTAGATGCATCCCTGTGAGGTCAAGGCCAGACTGGTCTACAGAGTGAGCTCTAGGACAGCCAATGCTACACAGAGAAACCCTGTCTTAAAAACCACAAAAAGAAAGAAAAAAACCCAGTCTTCCCATATGAATATTGGGAGATTTATAAATGATACATAGGTAGACATAATTCTAGTTGGTAAAAGCTTGCTTCTTCTGTGCTGTTTTATTTATTCAGGCTGGTCCAGAACACATGATCCTCTCGATCGGTGGGATTACAACGACGCTGTGTGGCTCTGACCGTGTCTTCCTGGGCTCCACGTCTCTAAGCGACGGAACCGAGACCAACATCGTGATATCAGGTAAGTCATGCACCCCCAGTGCTCGCGGCGCCCGCCGAACCTAGCTCCGTTTGCCACCCGCCACACCTCGGAAACAAGGGAGCAGGGCGGCTGAACCGTGGGGCGCGGACGTCGCCACCCGGTGGGGTCACCCACGCCGTCACCCAGCCCCGGAAAGCTCAGGCCTGCGGGGAGGAGAGCGCGTGGCGCCGCCCAGGCACTTCCGCTCCGGTCAGGTTCCTACCCTCGGTCAGCACTTTCGACAAAACCCGGGTGGGCGGGGGGGGGGGGTCTGATATTTCCCGGCGGCACCTTTACGCCCCTTTCTCTCTTTGCCTTGGACCCTTGCTGGATACCAAGGCCGAGGCGCGCGAACGCCCCGCACGGGCGGCTCTGCCGAGAACGAGTGGACCGTGGCGAAAGTGCGCACGGGAAACGCCGCGCGCTTCCTTCTCCCGCCGCGCCGCCGGCCGGAAGTCCCCGCTCTGAATGGGTCTGGAGCCGCCGGCGGCCGCCTCCGCTGCGTGCGGCCTCCACGCCGGGCGACTCTGGGTCTCGGCTCCCGTCGGCCGCTAGGGTTCATGTGGAGGCTCCCGGGTCGCGTCGCGCTTCGCGGGGTGCGCGCGGCGGGGGCGGCGGCGGCGGAGCCGGGCGGCCGGGCGGAGGCCATGGAGCGCGCCGTGGTGCGCTGTGTGCCCTCGGAGCCCAAGCTCAGCCTGTCGTTCGCGCTGGCCGACGGCAGCCACAAGAACATGCAGCGCGACCAGAGCGAGCCCCTGGGCCGCGCCCTCAGCCGCATCGCCACCAACGCCCTCAAGGGCCACGCGAAGGCGGCGGCCGCCAAGAAGGGCAGGAAGAGCCGAGCGCGCGCGGGCGGCGGCGGGGCGGCGGCGGCGGCGGGGCCGGAGGCGGCGGCGGAGGGGGAGGCGGCGGCGGGCGAGCCGGTGGTGAGGCTCTTCTACCGCGAGGAGGCCGTGGCCGAGGACGTGCTCAACGTGGACGCCTGGCAGGACGGCGCGGTGCTGCAGATCGGCGACGTCAAGTATAAGGTGGAGCGCAACCCGCCCGCCTTCACGGAGCTGCAGCTGCCGCGCTACATCATGGCCGGCTTCCCGGTGTGCCCCAAGCTCAGCCTGGAGTTCGGGGACCCTGGCAGCTCCGTGTTCCGCTGGTACAGGGAAGTCAGAGCCGGGGCGGCGGAGCCGGGGGAGCGCGGCCTCGCGGCGGCGACGGCGACTTCGTCTCGCTCCCTGCCGTCGCCCGCGTGGGCCGAGACTGGCGTGCAAGAGCGCGTCTACACCCCGAGCAACGCCGACGTCGGGCTGCGGCTCAAGCTGCACTGCACTCCGGGCAACGGGCAGCGCTTCGGGCCCAGCCGCGAGCTGGAAAGCGTGTGCCCCGTGGAGGCCGGGCCCGGCACCTGCACCTTCGACCACCGGCACCTGTACACCAAGAAGGTGACCGAGGACCCCTGCATCCGTACTGTCTCCTACAACCTCCTGGCGGACACCTACGCCCAGACCGAGTTCTCTCGGACAGTCCTGTACCCGTACTGTGCGCCCTACGCCCTGGAGCTTGACTACCGCCAGAACCTCATCCAGAAGGAGCTCACGGGCTACAACGCAGACCTCATCTGTCTGCAGGAGGTGGACCGCGCCGTGTTCGCCGACAGCTTGGTGCCCGCCCTGGAGGCCTTCGGGCTGGAGGGCGTGTTTCGGATCAAACAGCACGAAGGCCTGGCCACTTTCTACCGGAAGTCAAAGTTCACCCTTCTTAGCCAGCACGACATTTCTTTCCAAGAAGCCCTGGGGTCGGACCCACTGCACAAAGAACTCCTCGAGAAACTGGCTTTGAACCCTCTGGCGCAGGAGAAAGTACTCCAGAGATCGTCTGTCCTTCAGGTCAAGTAGCTCTGCCTGTTTTCTTCATGCTCACCCGTGTTTAGGGGCCTTCGGGGTGGAGGGATGGTGTTAGCACTTATCACTGAAAACTATCTAGATTGCATTTCTTTAAAGTATGTTTGCCCTGGTGTCTTATACGGTGTGGCTTGTCCATTTACCCAGCATCGGTTAAGCCCCCTTAACCCTGCTGCTGGTTATCTTGAACAAGGTAAATAGAGATATTCTTAGTGCTTAAAATCCAGGTAGAGACCGGGCGTTGGCGGCGCATGCCTTTAATCCCAGCACTTGGGAGTCAGAGGCAGGTGGATCTCTGTGAGTTCGAGGTCTACAGAGTGAGTTCCAGGACAGTCTCTAAAGCTACACTGAAAAACCCTGTCTGGAAAAAACAACCAAACAAAAACCCAAAAGATCCAGATAGATACACAATTCAGTAATGATAGTAACTTGCCAAGCACTGTTTTAGAGCACTTTAAAGCAATTACAAGTATAAGTGCCTCTTGTTTTAAGACCTGTTTCATAATTTATTGCCTAGTATGTAAAAAAGTCATTGGCTCTTTGGTCTATTTTTACAGATTATTCTTTCATAAAAGAGAAAATGTTCAAATGCTCTTACTTTGGTTCATAGAAGTATGAGCCAGGATTCTTAGCCAGTTGTTCATGGTGTGAACTCCTCTTAGCTTAAAACTAATTTTTGCTTGTTGTTTGGTTTTGTTGATTTTTGGAAGGGTCTCACTGTGTAGCTGTGAATGACCTGGAACTACCTGAATGTGTAGACCTGGCTGGCCTTGAATAAACTGAGATTCACCCGCCTTTGCTTCCCAGGACTAAGTTGACCTGCCACCACACTAGGTCTTGTCTTTGTTTTTTAAAGGACATTTTTATTGTTTTTGTCCAGAGCTTTTAAGTAAGGATTTTTTTGTTTTTGTTTTTTCCAGACAGGGTTTGTCTGTGGCTTTGGAGACTGTCCTGGAACTATCTTTTGTAGAGCATGTTGGTCTCAAACTCAGAGATTCAACTGCCTCTGCTGGAGTGCTAGGATTAAAGGGGTGCGCCACCACCGCCCGGCTCTTTTTGTTCCAAGTAAAACGAATTATCTACCTGTTTTTAAACACCATTGTGTTCTGTGCACTTCTGTGTAAGCTCATTTAGTTGAATACACACGTCTATGATAGATGGGTGATACTGTTTCTTTACCGTTTTAACACTGAAGAGTGTCTTGCTCCCAAGGCACAATGCTGTGAATGCTAGACTGTTCAGAGATCTGCCTGACTCTAAAGGCATGTGCTTCCACACTTGAAAACAGTATCCAGTCCTAGTTTTAACAAAATGTATTTTTTCATAATGGTTCTATATATTGACAGTTACTAAGATGTTACATTTACTCATGTTAATATACCTTAAAACTTGCAATGTCAGGCCGGGTGGTGGTGGCGCACGCCTTTAATCCCAGCACTCGGGAGGCAGAGGCAGGCGGATCTCTGAGTTCGAGGCCAGGCTGGACCGATAGCCTCCAAAACAATACAGAGAAACCCTGTCTCGTAAAACCAAAAACAAAACAAACAAACAAAAAAAAAAACTTGCAATGTCAGATTTTAAAAGTATCTTAGTTTTCAAGGGACTATGGAATAAAATAGCTCAGTCTACAATTTTTTTTTTCTGGCCTAGAGGGGTGGCTCAGGTTTCAGAGGTTATACTCCTCCAGAGGTTCTGGGTTCCATTCCCAGCAACCACATGGTGACTCACAACCATCTATAGTAGGATCTGATGCCCTTTTCTGGCCTGCAGGGATATGTGTAGAGCACTGGTACATAAAATAAAAATAATTTTAAAAAGATTATTTATCTATTAGGTGCTCTGTTTGCATGTATCCTGCAGGCCAGAAGAGGGCACCAGATCTCATTATAGATTAAACTCAGGAACTCTGGAAGAACAGCCAGTGCTCTTAACCTCTGTGCCATCTCTCCAGCCCACTTACAGTTCTAAGTACAGAATATTATGGAGGGTTGGATGTTGTGGCACTTGGTAGGAAGAGGCAGGTGGATTTCTATGAGTTTCAAAGCCAATCTAGTTTACATAGAGTTCCAGGACAACCAGAACTCAAGCAACAAAAAACAAAAAGTTTTCTCAGATTGGCAGACACCAACTGAACTTTTGGTGTTTCCTATTGTAGATTTCAGTTCTTCAGTCTACAAAGGACCCTTCTAAAAAGATATGTGTTGCTAATACCCATCTCTACTGGCACCCAAAAGGTAGGTTTTATAAGTGACTTAATGTTGTTAAAGCTGTAGGTGATTATTTTTTTCAATCAAGCCTGATGACCTGAGTTCAATTCCAGGGACCCAAATGGTAGAAAAAGAGAAGCAACTCAATGTAAATTGTCCTCTGACCTCCACACAAACACCAAGGCACACATACACTCCACCTGTCACAGACACAGAGTGTGTGTGTGAATGCACATACATACACGCTTAGTGTTACTCAGGTACCATAATTTGTGAGGGATCCCCCTCCTTGGAGAGGGCTTTAAAAAGTACTTACAGTAACTTTGTTTGTTTGTAGGTGGATATATTCGTCTCATTCAAATGGCAGTAGCCTTGGTTCACATTAGAAATGTTTCATGCAATCTCTATCCTGGCATACCAGTTATATTTTGTGGAGACTTTAATAGTACGCCGTCAACAGGACTGTATCATTTCGTCATCAATGGCAGCATTACAGAGGATCATGAAGACTGGGCTTCCAATGGGGAAGAGGAAAGATGCAACATGTCTCTCACTCACCTTTTCAAACTGAAAAGTGCTTGTGGTGAACCTGCTTACACAAATTACGTTGGCGGCTTTCACGGGTGTCTTGATTACATTTTTATTGACTTAAATGCTTTAGAGGTTGAACAGGTGATCCCGTTACCTAGTCATGAGGAAGTTACCACCCACCAGGCCTTACCTAGTGTTTCTCATCCCTCTGATCACATAGCACTAGTATGCGATTTAAAATGGAAATAGATTCTGCTTCATTGAGTCTGAAAAGGAAGCTAGTTACTTAATTTAGTATGAATCAGAGCGTATATATAAAAATCTCCAAAGAGGAAATCTAGACACAAAACTTTATTATGGTCATTCCCTACTAGTTCCAGATGGCTTTGTTACAGAACCAATTCATAATGTTTGCATTGTATATCTTTATCTTCTTTTTAATTTCCTACGTTTGGAGAAAAACATTTATGACTAGCAAGGAAAAAATGAATTACTGTGTACATTTTATAAGTTTTTTTAGCTGGTAATTAAGATTTTTAGGTACTATTTGAATAATCTCATAACTTCTTTCATAATCCATTTTACATTGAATTATGTTCATATAATTGGGGGAGGAGGAGACATGCAGGTAAAAGTGAACGACTTCAGAGAGACATGGAATAATAATACATCAGTCTATCACTACCTCAGTTTGGTTAGAATTTATTATAATTTTAGAGCTTTAACAAAAGATTAAAATATGCCATTACCAATTTTTATAGCTTCTTTAATTTTAGTTAGCAAGGTATTTTCCTTCTCTTATTCCTAGCATTTTTTTAGTATACAAATGATGGCACAATTGCTCATAATTTGTGTTCTCATTTGCACTTCAGCCCATTTTAACAGTAAGATGCAAGCACACTGAAGTATTCAGAGGGAACAGCAGCATAACTTGATCCCTTGTCTTCACTCTTACTCATGAAAAATATTTGTAAACACAGGGCACATGGCCATATGATGTGAAAGAACAGCACAGTTATGAGAAACTTCTGATAGGGGCTTCAAGTTGTACTTGAACCATTGAACATTTCTATGCTGGAAGTGTTTTCAAAAGTAGTTTTTGTAAGAAGGAAAAAGGGAGCCAGGCATGGTGCTTTATAGCTGCAATCCTAGCACTCGGGAGTCGGGTTGCTTTGAGTTCAGTACTAATCTGGGTTACACAGTTTAAGGCCAGTTGCGGCTACATAAATGGAAAAAAGGGGGACAGTGAGCTTTTGCCAATATCTGAAACTTTTTATAGACTTAAGCGTTATAGTTTGAGTAACAGAAGTGTCACATAATTTATATATAAAATTTAAAAATGAAGCCAAACATTTTAAGGAGAAATTACGAGTTGTATTGATTAGTATCTAGTTTAGATAACTTCAAGTTTTACTAATTTTGTTGTTATCATACCTTACTGGTAATGCTTTAGCTATTGCTTTTTGGTGTTCAGAATTAACTGTAGCATAGCTCATATTTCTGCAGTTAATTTCTGGCTTAGATAGTAAAGGCCTCTCACCTCAAAAAGAGGTCTGATTTTTTTTTCCAATCTTGAAGCCTCTATTTCAAAATTTTTCATTTCTAGCCCAATACCATAAGAACTTTCCTCTTTTAAAAATGTGTCTTCTCACCCATGTTCTTCTAATATAGTCTGTGTCTTCATATTCTACAGACACCCTTAAGTTAGCTTAAGCATTTTTATCTGCACTAAAGATTGAACCTCTTTATTCAAATTATTTAAAGGGAAATAATCATTAAGGTGGTAGTTTCTTGGGATCTTGTTTTTAAAAAATATAGCTCACAAAAAATTGATGCTACCAAATTGTGCCTTCCTAAATATGGTAGTGGGTTCTTTTGTTTCTCTTCCTGAGGATCAAAGTCAGGGCCACTAAGTTACATTCCCAGCCATATACGTGCTATTTTTTTAAAAGAGCATTTCAATGGCAGTTTATGTTGTCAGAAGTAGTTCTTTTGCAAACAAAAAAAATTTTTTTCCAAGATTATTTCTGTGTTGCTGGGGATTGAACCTAGAATCCTGGGCATGCTAAACATGTGCAGCACTGCCAAACTATATCAGTAACACTTTTCTTTTTAAAATTGGGGTTTGTTTTCCTTTCAATAAGCATGTTGACAAACTTTTAAACAGACTGTTAATTACTCAGCAAGAAGTTAACATTTTGAAAGAAAAATATGTGAGATTATTTATACACACACACACACAAAATTCATCAAGATCCTATATTAACCCCATGGTGGGCTTGAACTGTGATCAGAGAAACTAGGATTTACCAAGCATCCCAAGTCCTTAAATTTGATATTTGTGGATTAAATGATAGTCAGGTTATACAGGTATTTCAGGCATTCAGTCAAATCTCCAGCACTCAAATGTTAGGATGACTGGAGTACAAAGATAGGGAACACTACAAAAATTCTATAAATATACAAAATCCACTTGTACTTACAAGTTAGTACAAGGTATTAATCAGAGTGTTTAAAGCTATCTTTGTAATTGTGATTGAATTTTTCTATTACTTTTGAAATTTTTAGTACATTTAATTTTAATGAGAAATCTAGCAACTTTGGAGTAAATCACATTTTATGTCACAAGTTCTTGCTGAAGGAAAAGTGAATATTTTAAAGAATGTTATTCTGTTAAAACCAACTCTTATACATTTGTCCCCATAACAAACACGGTTTATAATTCATTAGCAAGAACATTTCTGGCTACAGTATTCTGGCTTTACTTCCTTGGTATGTTCAGGTTCATCCATGTTAGTCTGTACCAATACCTCATCTTTTACAGCCAAATATTTCTACTGCATGGATAATACATCTTGCTTATCTGAACATTTGGATTGTTTCTTTTGCTATTGTGACTAGTGCTAGGGATATTTGTGCTCAAATTTTTGGTTGAGCTTCCATTGTTTGGCAGTGCTGGGGAATCAAATCCTGGACTGTATGTATGTTGGGCAAATATTCTACCACTGAGCTACACACCCGACCCAGAGCATCTATTTTTCAGTTCAACTATATACTTCCGAGTAAATTACTAGATCATAATCCTCTTTAATTTTCTGGAGCCAGACTTTCTTACGACGGTTGCACTATCTTATACACTGGGTTCAGTTTTCCCTTCATCCTTTCAAACTTATTTCCACAACTTTCCCCTAACCCCACTAAGACAGCCTTTCTCTGTATAATAGCCTTGACTGTCCTGGAACTCCCTTTGTAGACTTTTAGAGATCCGCCTGCCTCTGCCTCCTGAGTGCTGGGATAAAAGGTGTGTGCCACCACAGCTAGGCTCTTATTCCCATTTAAACAGTCATCCTACTTAATGTAAACTGATGCTGTAATGACACATTTTTAACTTTTGAAGTTGTTGCAGTCATAACATGCTTTATTCTAAATAGTTTACCCAACCTTTTTCCAGAGCCTACCTTCAGCAACTGCTACTATTTTTATGAGTTTGTGCCAAGTGGAAAAGGTCTTACTGCTTCCTTTAAAGAAAACTGAAAAATACAACACCTTGAATATAAACAAAAAAATGATGGCAAAAGCCTAAGATGTTCACAACAAAAGGTCATTTTTTTATACTTCAGCAATTTCACAGAACTTACTTTTAAATGGGAACACTAAATCCATAGATAGCAAGAATGAATACAAATTACTGAGAAAATGAGATGTATAATTAAATACATAATCATAAAAAGTTCAAGCAATTTTGGATTTTTTTTTAAATCCCTAAATTCAAGGTAACTTTTAAACTGTAAGCCAATAAATTAAGCTGACATTTACTCTGATAGGGGATTACTTGACCGCCTTTAGTGTATTAACATACAGATGCTAAAATTTATATAAGAGTTATAATTTCAAGCATTAAGCTTAATTAAGTTGGCTGGTAGCAACCTCTATATAACAATGAATGGCATTTGAAACATTAAACCTGAGCCTGAAGAGACCACTCTGATTAAGAGTGCTCATTCTTCCAGAGGACCTGGAATTGATTTCACAGCACCCACATGGTGGCTCACAACCTCCTGTAACTCCAGTTCCAGGAATCCATCTCTGCTGGCATCTCGGGGTACCAGGCATATACATGGTATATGACAAGATACATGACAGGCAAAACACCCATACCCATAAATTAAACTTTAAAAAGTATAAAAACTAAAAACAAACTCGGAACAAAAAACTGCCTGCCTCTGGAGTACTAGGATTGAACAGCTTGTTGAGAGCTGTTGGTATTTGTAAGTCTGACACCTAAAAGAAACCCTGTACCTATAAGTAGTAACCCTGTTTGCCCTGACAACCCTTTACCTACTCTTGTTGCCATGAAATGTCTGTTTTGGACTTTCATAAATGCGAAGAAACTGGCTTCTTTCACTTAGGCTGTTTAGGTACTTCCATGTTGTAGCGTTAATACTGTTGGTTTTTTTAATGATTTTCCATTGTTATACTACTTTTACCTATCTACAAATTGATGGGTATTTGTATGCATTGCTTCCACAGATAATGTTGCTATAAACATTTGTGTATAAGTTTTTGTGTGGGTGTTTTCATTTCTCTTGAGTATTCTTCCAACATAGGAGCACTGTTGGGTTATATGGAAAAATATTTACCTTTTGGGAAATTGCTAGAGTATTATTGAAAGCAGGTACACAATCTCCGGAAACACATGAGGGCTCTGATTTCCGCACATCCTGAACACTTAATAGTTTTAGGTATTATAGTATGAAGTGGTCCTGATTTTGCTTTTTAATTTATATTCCTCTAGGGAACATGTCTTTCCTACTTGTAAGACCCCTAATGGATTCCTAAAACAGTATCACAGCCTATATCATTTTTTGTGTGTACATACTTATAAGGTTTAATTGATAAGCTAAGCACAATATACTAATAAATAGAAAAACTATGGCATACTATAGTAAAAATTATATAAAACCTAATTCTTTTGAAAATTCTTAAAACAAGGTTGAACACTTAAGACTGAAATTACAGAAACCAAAAGTATACATGAGAAAAAGCTACTGTACATCCCTATTTGAATGGTTCTAAGTCTGGACAAAACGAAAAAACCCACTGTAACTGAAGCTAGAATCGTTCCTATGAGCTAGTTCTTAAGTGCTCAAGAAAACTGAACCCATCCCATTCACTGGCAGGGTAGGAACTACTGTCAAGGCAGACGGGAACCCAGTCCCATTCTACACCAACAGTGACCTAGAAGGCATTACTAGCACAGCTGCTTATCTTTCATCTGAATCTTGGTATTACTGTTCATCAAATCCAATTTAGGCACCTAAATATAAGTTTATAACTGGAAATAACTATATTGTTAATATATTTGCCTAAATGTAACAAAAAGCAAACTAAAGAATCCTTGAATGGCTTAGTTTTAAAAATTACTATGATGCTAACTTATAATTCCTACCTCTGAACTTACAAAGTTTCATACTGTCTATACACCATAAAAACTTACTGTACTGTATTTTTTTCTCCAACAAGAAATAAGACCTCTCTTATTTGGAAAGAAGGGAGAATTCGCCTGCTGGACTAAGGAAGCTTCAATTATATCAAATGAAACCGACTAAATGAACATACTTTATCCCAGTAGCCTATTTCAGCTATTTATAAACTACTTAGCTTCAATTTATTTTGCTAAATCCAGTTATTTTATCAACTTAAAAATCACATTTTAAAAGCACGTGGAATTAAATTTTTGAGTCAGGCATAGTGGCACACACCTTTTATCCCAGTACTGGGGAGGCAGAGGCAGGGTAGATCTCTGTGAGTTTGAGACTGGCCTGGTGTACAAAACAAGTTCCAGAACACGCAGGATCATTATAGAGAAATCTGTCTCAAAACAGCAAAAATTTTGATCCATGAGTTCATATAAACCTCTAAGCTATTAAGGATCATTTTTAAAAAGTCATAAAAAGCTTATAATACACCAGACATTAAAATATAGACAAAATCTATTCTAATTAGCATAGTTATGGCATGTACCACTGTTCTGCCATAGCAAGTAACTTGCACACAGCTTTGACGTTGTGAACCACTAAGCTCTCTAGAGTAGCATCACTTAGCTATCTGTGTCTTCCACCTAATGTTAGTTGCCAAATGTATGCATACCTACTTGTTACTTTCCTTCTTTTGTTTCTGTGTTTTTGAGAAAGGTCTCCTGTTTCCCAGGCTGGCCTCAAACTCACCAAATTGACAATTTCTGACATTGATATGCTTGACACCTCCATGGGACATGGTACTAGGGATCAAACTTGGGTTTCTGTGCATACAAGGCAAGCACTCCAACTCAGCTTCATCACCAACCCTTTCATACCCTGCTTTTGGAGTTCATGTTATGACAGCTTCTTGATCTTCTTGATCTGTCTTTTGAACTTTATAGCTTTAAATGGTATTCTACTAGAAAAAGTAAAATTTTATACTGAACCTTACTTCGACACTCTTGATAAACTATAGTTAAGTTTACTGCCAACTTAAGCACAACTTGGCTATGTAAGGAAATCAGTTTTAAATTCTGGAAACACTCAAAAGAACACTCATTTTTTTTATCATTTTATTAGGAATAATTTCAAATGGGTTATGAAGAAAACTTATTCACTGAATTTAATGAATTTTCAAAAAATTCGTAATGAAGATATGTTCATCAATAAACAGTAAAATATCAGCAGAACTATCATATACTGGGCAAAGAGTCAGTCTGATTCCAAAAACAACATGCAACATAAAAAAGGTAATATAAAGGAAGACAATCTGCTGAGTATTAAGTTATCTCAATAGGAACTCTTTGCAACCAGCACAGGGTTAGCTATCGAAGCCAAACCACACTGACAAGGTAAGTTTGGCTGATGGAAGCAGGAGTCAGTAATGTGACGGGGGTGGTGGTCCTCAGTACAGGAAAACTGGATAGTGTTTCCCTGCTGGTCCAAGCAGGGCTAGAAAAATCTTTTTTGGCAAGGGGTAGAAATAAATACAAATGGAATGCTACATTTTTAAATCAGCAGACTGTTGTAGGAATGATAAATGTATCAGTAAAGTATCAAGGGAGTAACTTTATAACATTATTGGTGTGGGCTCAAAAGACACTCAAAACAGATTTGTTTAAGGTGTCGCAATAGCTGTATGTCCAGGCATTTAGGCTTAAGGGAAGTATAACAGTAGATACTTTTTTTCCCCCAGGGAGAATTTCTTTTACACAAGCATATTGCTAAACAGCAACATTGTGCTTGGTAAACAATAATTGGCAACAAAGTAGGTTTTAAATGCTGTAATATTCTGCCCAAACCTGTCTCAGATATCCTTTAATAACCAAGATGCAAACTAATTTTGTTGTAACAAGTCTAGACCAATTCTATCAAACATGTCCTTGGTTAGATATCCCGGTTCATTTAGCGTTTTGAAAGTTCATTTGACAGCCAATCGAGTCCCTCATACAGACCAGTTCCTTGGGTAGCACAAGTGGCTTGAACATACCACTGTGAAGAAAGGACAAGAAAATACTTGATTAACAATACATACTGCCATATTTCAACAAAAAATACTAAATCCCTGCCGATCCCACACACATGAATTTAATGCTCTCAGTAACTACAAAGGTCACTCAAAGTATCCTTTAGGAATTTCCTCACTATTTAAAAATCTGAAGAGTAATGGGAAAGTCTTTAACACATTATTTACCTGGCCCTTAAGATCCTCTCATTATACCCCATAAACTAAGTAGAACACATGTGCAGATCCCCCCCCCCCACAGGCTTTCTCTATTGTTTTGGAGCCTGTCCTTGAACTCACTCTGTAGACCAGGCTGGCCTCAAACTTGGAGAAACGCATGCCTCTATACCTCCCAGGTGCTGGGATTAAAGGCGTGCACCACCAACACTCAGCAACGTGCAGATTTTTTTTAGCTTTACTTTTGTAGCCCTAGAGATCATACCCAGGGGCTCAAATGCAGAGACAAGTCCTCTGCCATTAACCATATTCCCAGTAAAAAGGGGTAAGTTTCTGAAATATGTTTGTTGATATTGTAAGAACTTTAGACTTTTCAAATTTTACTTAAAAAAATAATTTTAGCATCTTTGATTGCACATATTCCAGAAAGTTTCACCTTTAAACAGTTAAGATCCTTAATTGCTTAATAAAATGAGACCATGTCTCAAAGAAACAAAAACAAAAAACCCCACAAAACACCTAGAAAACAATTCACATTTTAATAGTTTATTCATTTTTAAACTGACTAATTTCACCTTAGAAGAAAAAGGATGGAGAGATGGCTCAGTGGTTAAGAGCACTTGACTACTCTTCCAGAGGACCAGGGTTCAATTCCCAGCACCCACATGGCAGCTCACAACCGTCTGTAATGGGACCAGATTCCTTCTTCTGGTGTGCATGGAGACAGCATAGACTACACAGTGAGAACCACCTTAAAAAATCGTTGTTCAACCACAGATGCTGCTCAGTGGTAGGGTGACTGCCCTAACACAGAAAAAAGACACTCTGGGTTGAGAAACTCCAACATCAATAGAAATAATAAAATAAAACATTTGTATTAAATAAAAATGGTTGGAGAGCTATTTGAATGATAGGAAATTATGAATGTCTGTAATCCCTACACATTCAACTCAGTACTATTAATGTACCAACACAGAAGATAGTTAATATTAACTAAATAGAAAAAGAGAGACTACCAGTATTTTTTAAAAATTTAATAGCATAACTTAATATATAATGTAATATTTAATTAGAAATAAAGCCTGAAAGAGCTGGTATGTGATGTATTTCCTATAAACCATATTACCCTATTTTTATAAATGTCCTATCTATCCAAAGGAAATTATTACACATTTAAACTGGGCGGGCAGAGGCAGGCAGATCAATTGTGAGTTTGAGGCCAGCCTGTCTACAGAGTAAGTTCCGACTACAGTTAGATCTACCTCCAAATAATAACAATACTAAAAAGCAGCTGAGTATTAGACCAATTACCCAGTTTCACCAGTGAGGAGGTTAGTATCACCTTCAAATACTTACTGTTCTGTTACGGAGAGACTGAAGACCTAACTTATCTGTCATCTCACTGATGGCCATAGCATTTGGCAAATCCTGTTTGTTTGCAAAAAGCAGCAACACTGCGTCCTGCAGCTCATCTTCCAGAAGCTGGAGACAAAGGTTAGCCATGAGCAGCTATTCTAACATTGAAATGACCACTCACAAGTCTTCTTAAACATACATTTTCCTCAACATTAAACAAGCTATGAAAACCAATTAAATTTCTCTATGTAAATCTCAAGCACTCTTATAAATCTCATATCCTTCAGTTTGCACAAATAATTGGCTTTTAAGAAGGTAGTTCTCAGTCATCCTCATGCTGTGACCCTTTAATACAGTTCCCCATGCTGTAGTGATCCATAATCATAAAATTACTTTCATTGCTACTTTGTAATTTTGCTGTTATTAATCATATTGTAAATCTCTGTGGTTTCCAATGGGTTTAGGTGACTCTTGTGAAAGGGTCATTTAACCTCCAAAAGGA